TATGAGTCTTTATTTCAGTATAGCGGTATATTACATAGTGGCCAGACTCGAGTAGTATCCGTAAAATAAATTTGTTTTACGAACCCAAACTGAATTTGGGATCTATTGGCTAGTCTCGAGTAGCATAAGTAAATACGCGACCCGGGTGATGCTGATATATTCACTTTTTAATTATATTTAACATTTAGAGTTCAGACGTCGTTTTACGATTTTTACATTTTATGTAATGGTATGAATAACATTTTTAACAATAGATAATTGTCTAGTATTATATTTTTACGTGTTAATAGTCAACCTTCATTTAATAAATTGATTTTATTCTTTCTGAATTTCTGATCAGATCGTATGACGTATAAGAATGTAGAATGTACTATTGCACCGCGGCCGTATTGTCTGTAATTTTAGTTAGGTTATCTCCACATCCGTTCGGTGATAATATTGAATTATTTATATTGTAGCCAAATCTTGTATTATAATCTATATTATAATAAATTAAAGACAATAATTATTATTATTTTCTGATCAAACATTGTTGTGGACATGGTTATCGTTCAGAATATGCAATTGGAAAATAGTTGAATGTAGGTACAGTGAAATCGGTATATAACATTGTATTAGTATTATTATTAAATCATTATCATGTTTAAACTTTTATATTGTATCTAAATTGTTGTAAGGGGCTTCGCCCGTTAATATACCCATATAAATAAATAAATAAATAAATAAATAACGGACAGTCACATCTGTATAGTTTTATATTTTATAATATGTACATATTAGGTATAATCTTTCTTAATATTATACATATATGTTTATACACATAAATATGAATTTAATTTTAATTATTTATTACAATAACAATTATTAATTTTATATTGCATACATACAATGACACATTATTAATGTATTATATGTACATACTATTATATTTGTATAAATTTATTAATTATTTTTTAAAAAATGATTCTATTGATGTTTGTTTTTTGAACTTCGATTTGGGCATTTCCAACTCGTGATGGATAATTAATTCGCTCACATATGAAAATCCTTTTTTTGTAAATTTAAAGCTTTACGCGGCACGGGAGGTGGCAATGCTAAGGAAAATATGTACAACTCTAACTGCGAACCGATAGAAACTGAATAAAAACGTTTGATACTCATGGTTATCATTTATACGTATTTAAATTTATATCTGGATATATTGGACTGTATAAATTCAATAGGCAATTAGCGTTATCGTAATCGGTGATAATTTAATTGCCAATTGGTCGTAATCCATGTTTTCACTAAATTACCTAATTGCGTTCCTTATCGACGCTCTTTCGTAGTATGTATGTACAATGTATGTATGTATTTTTGTCCGTTATGGAATTGTTGGATTAAATATTAGTGTCCATGTCCGTAATTGAAGGAGTCCGTTATAGACAAGTCGAAATACATTAGAATGCCTATATTTTTGCCGGGACCTGGTCATTTTGTCCGTTAAGAGAGGTGTCCGTTATAGACGGGTGCCCTTTAAGTCAGGTTTCACTGTATATAGAATAACGTGTAAACGTATTATAGAAGTAGGTACAGTTTTTAAAAATATATTGTCGATTACTGCCTCAGAATAATTATAATATTATTGCGTATTATGCATTACGCAATCTATATGTTATGCTCTCAAAAATATTATTCTCTATAATTTTGGTGCTGGGTTATTTAATATTTTAGTCCTTTTTACTCTTTTAAGAGTACTCAAAAACATCAACAAAACGTTATTGCGTAAATGCATTTTGTCCATATTTCGCGTGGGCCAGAGAGAGAAAACAATCAGTGCTCTTGATGATAATTAATTCATACGATTATAATTGGTTATAATTGATAGGCTTCTTAACCATGACTGGTCTTGAACCTGATAGGTTCAGTAAATATGAGTCAGGAAACGTAAAACGAGAAAAAAACGGAAGGCTGAGGAGTTGATGCAGAAACATAACAAACCATGAACAATTTTTAACCATATCTAAAAATGATAATATTGAAATTACTGAAAATCCAAAACAATACATTTCTTCATATTTAGATAACACTCAAACTTTATCAATATTGAGGAAAATTCAACGAAAAACCATATTTTAGAAAATAACAAAAAGTTTAGAGGAAAAAATGTTGTTGGTAATGATGATTGCTTAAAATGTCAATCACATATATGGGGTGACCCTGGAAACTGGCCTAACCATGTGGACAATCAAATAAGCTATGATATACCTAATTAAGTTAGGACCAATACGCTTAATAGACTAGGCATTTCCAAAGACTCTTCAAAATGATGGCTCTAAACGAAAATTTACAAAAATTTGTTTAAAAAAAATTTAATAAATGGTGAAAAAACTGATAGAGTTTGGCTTGTTTATTTAATTACGAAAAATTGCATGTTTTGTTATAGTTGTAAGCTTTTACCTTCTGAAAACCCCCACCTCAACTATCTAAGTACTATCGGAACAAACGACTGGAAACACTTGTCTGAGAAACTTATAACTCATGAGCGTTCTGTTCAGGTTAAATCTATTGAAGCCAGGACGGAATTAAAAAAAAGAATTTTGAAAGAAAAATTAATTAATCAACCACATTTATCTATTATTGAGAAGGAGAAAATTCATTGGACAAATATACTGAAAAGAATTTTATCAGTCATTCATTATTTAGCTGCTCATAATGATGCATTTCGGGGTTCATCAGATGTACTGTGTTTACAAAAAGTAATGGGACGTTTCTTGGCTAGAAATGCTGGCAAAATTCGATCCAGTAATAATGGAACACTTTAACAAAATTCAAAATAAAGAAACACATATCCATTATCTAGGTCATAGAATACAAGACGAAATTATTAATATGATGGCCAATGCAGTCAAGCAAAAAATAATAAAAAAACATACAGTCTGCTAAGTACCTTACGATCATAATGGACTGCACTCCAGATATTGAACACGGAGAGCAACTTGCTATTCTTTTGCGAATAGTACGTATGAATGAAGAAAATGAATACAGTACACCTACTATACAGGAGTATTTTTTAGATTTTGTAATGGTTGATTCTACTCCTGGTTTAAATATATCTGATGTTCTGATTAAACAACTTAAGCTATATAAAATAAACATTGAAACTTGTCGAAGTCAGTCCTTCGATAATGGATCGAACATAACTGTAAGATATCAAGGAGTTCAAACCCGAATCTTAAACATAAATTCTCGAGCATGTTTTACTCCTTTCGCTGCCCTTATTGTAAACCTAGTCCTGTGTGATGCTGCAAAAAATCAACAATAGCCATTACCTTTTTTGTATAGTTCGACGTGTTTATACGTTGTTTTCTGCATCAACATATCGCTGGAGTATTATTAAAAATGCATAAATGTAGTGAATGTAAATGCATGATTAAAAGAAAACAGTTATGTGAATTGAGTATTTTAGGTGAAAATATATAAAGCCAGGTGCAAAATAGTTATTGACTAACCCGCAGGTATGTTTTGCATCCTGTGTTGCGGGTTGATTGGATTTGTGTCGTAGATGACCAGATCGAGGTTTCTGGGCGGACGACCGTCGTCACCCACGAACACGGCCGCAACTTCATTTGCGGTGGGCAGGTTGTATCGCCGCTGATCCCGGGTCGCATTTGCGATGAAATGCATTGTTATCGGCCTAGGACACACACCTTCGGGATCGGCATCGGCCAGGTCTCTTTCTGCCTGCCGGCTGCCACGCCTGACGCATGTTCCTGGAAAAAAGGAGATGTCAAAATATGCAAGTACACATGACCTAAAATGTATTAATAAATGGTGAATAGTGTGTACTATATAAAGGATTTCTCAAGCGTTACAACAATAATATAGTACAACTTTTGAGTATAGTTCTGTCAGTAAAAAAAGAAATTTGTCAAGTCACAAACATCCAAGCCCTATTGTTTAGTTGGATGTAATGTTTGATGTATCAGTAATGATGGTGCATTGAACTCCACAGCAAATATGATACATATTTAAAATCAAATTAAACTTATTAAACCTAACCTAACGAATCCAATAGTCTATGTAGAACGACAATGTGATAAATTACAGTCTTGTAAAATATACTTTTAAACTTGTATTTAAATACAGATACAAATGCATCTTTTCATAAAGTATTTAAAATACATTTCAAATACTTTTAAGAAAAAGTATTTAAGAACAAAATATAAATACTTGCCATGTATTTAAATACTTTTCAAATACTTTTTTTTTCTTTTTTACATTTCTACTTGTTAGTTTGCTAAATTAAAGTTGTAATTACTAATTTAAAATTGTCATGATACATTCACCAAGGTATTATTAGATCTTTGTGTACCACTTTCAATTGTATACTGGAAAATGAAAATAAATAAAACTTGTTATATTATAGAAATTCTTTAATAATATATTCTTAATTAAAAAGTGGTTAATGAAATATAAATGATGTATACAGAGCAATTAAAATAAATCATTCCCAAAAAAATTGGTTGCATTTAAGTAACATGGTTTTTTCAAAATGTTCATAGCTCATTTTTCCTCGTGTTTTTGATAAAATAGCTCCACTAACACTAAATACTCTCTCAACTGGAACACTAGATGGCTGTGGAGTGTTATACTTAATAAAAACTTCCTTCAATGTAGGATTCAAATTAAAAGTTTCCAATTTCTTTGTTGGACTTCTCTTCAAGTCATACAATTATATAAAATAAAACACTTGTAGTTTGTACACGTCGAAATGTCGTCAAAATCTCGAAGTTCAATTTGGACCTTTTTTGAAAAAACATCTGATTTGGGAGTTGTTAAATGCAAACTGTGTGAGGCTCCTGTCAGACCATGTGGTAACACAACCAATATTCGCAACCACATGAAGCGAAATCATGCTTCTATTGATATAAGCAAGGTTTTTGTCAGTAAGACGAAGGTTCGTCGAACATCTGTTTCTTCAACTCAATCAGTGGCATCAACTAGTTCGAGGAATTCAATGATGTCAACTGCATCGTCTTCATCTACAAGTTACTCTCGACCACAACATGAAGATGTTGACGATCCTGATGATCCTGGTGACAATGATTTTGCTGAGTTAGCTAAGACCATTGTAAATAAGGTAAGATACTAAGATGCTAAATTACTAATAATGTGCTTAAAACCAATTTTTTTTTTATTATAGGCTCAACAGACACAAGGCAGACTTAATTTTTTTGCAACATCATCGACTTCTTCTTCTTCGGGTATTGTAGACAACAATTCCGTGGTATCATTTAGTAGTGGATCTATACCAACAACATTGTCATCAACATCAAGTTCTCCACAGTCAGTGAGCTTAAGGCAGAGAACTATGCACGAGTCTTTTTCGGACATCAAATCTTATGATAGTAAGAGTAAATTTTTTAATTCATAACTATAAAATTATAATAAATTGTCTAAATTATTTTAGAAGGAGGATATAAGACACGAGCTATCACGGATGCGCTGGTGTACATGGTAGCAAAAGATAATCTGCCGTTATCTATAACAGAAAAACCAGGATTCCTGTTCTTCATGCAGAAGACAGTGCCTATGTACAAAGTTCCATCCAGGCAAACTATAACAAAGCTCATCAAAAGTAAATATGAGGTTTTATCCGCATTAGTTAAATCTAAGCTGAGTCTTGTAGAGCATTTAACCTTAACGTCGGATATTTTGACAGACATTCTTAATACAAGAAGTTTTTTGGGTATGACGGTACATTTTTTAAGTTTAAACAAAGTTGCTCTTGAGAGTGTGACACTTGGTGTGTTAGAGTTTTCTGCCAGCCATACATCTGACAATATATCCGCTTGGTTTGAGCACCTTTTTCTTCAGTGGGGTATAACAAAAAGCCAGATTTTCACCGTCGTCACCGATAATGGGTCTAATATATTATCTGCTGTTAACAAAACTTTTGGCCAAGAAAAACATTTGCCATGTTTTGCCCACACTCTGAATTTGGTATCCGAAAGGGCATTGGTTAATCTTGCAGATGTACATAATATCATCAACAAAATTAAGGCTATTGTAACTTATTTCAAGCAATCTGTAGCGGCTTCTGACGAACTTCGAAAATTGTGCGATCATAAACTAAAACAATCTGTACCAACACGTTGGAACTCCATTTATTTTATGATAGATAGATTTATTTTATGTTCCAACCATATTGCTTCAGTATTAATCAATATTCGCCGGGGCCCCGAAATGTTGACAGCTGATGAAATTGATGTAGCAAAGGAAATGTTGTTAGTGTTAAGGCCGATGGAAGTGGCGACAAGAGAATTATGTGGTCAAAAATATGTAACTGGCAGCACAGTTATACCATTAATTAATTGTCTTATTAAAAAGACTGATAGTATTGATCTAACCCATCCAACTGCTTTATTCTTAAAAAAGGCAATGTTAGAAAATTTAGATAAAATGTTTGGTAGGATGGAGGAGAGAAGTCTCCTTAGTGTTGCCACTATATTAGATCCCCGGTTCAAAACTATTCATTTGTATAACCCAATATCTAGCTCAAGAGCTATTAAATTTATTAAAAATAAAATTAATGAAATAAAAAGTAATTGTGAAGAACCTAACTCCTCAAACCAAGGCTCTAGTGATGATGATGGTGAACGCAGTGATAGTTTGTGGTCAGTTCACAATGATCTAGTTTCAAAAAAAGCTGCATCACAAAGTTCAGAACAGTCTGAAGAGCGAATGCCAACTGAACTTAAGCATTATATAAGCCAGCCCACAATACTGTTAGGTGATGACATACTTAAATATTGGGATATAAATGGCTATGTGTTCCCTCTCTTAAAAAAAATTGTACAACCATATTTGTCTTTAGTAGCAACTTCTGTCCCTTCGGAAAGATTGTTTTCAAAAGCGGGAAATATAATGACCGAAAAAAGAAACCGTTTAAAGGGGGAAAAGTTGCAACAGCTTTTATTTCTAAGTTCTCTAAATTTTGAAGACTGGCACATAGAATAAAAAAAGTTGTTTTTATTGTGGGATGTAATTATTTGTAAATATGTATAGTGTAATGTATCTGTACAGCCTTTTGTATATAAAATGTATTAATATGTATAATGTAATTATCTGTATATTATTTGTAAATATGTACACAGTCTTGTAAAAAATACTTTTGAAATGTTGAATACATTTTAATACCTAACATTGTTTTTTCGATATTATTTTTATTGATGTCAAATTGTAGTTAAAGTTGTAATAGTTATTGTAAAAAATTATGTCAAAGTACCAATGATATAATAAACAAAAAAAAATACAGTGTTTACCATAATCATTGTTGTATTATTTATCTACCTACCTACATTAAATACCTAAATCCTAACTTAGTCAACTCAAACTTAAATTTCAATATTATTTACATATATTTGTATTGTATCTGATTCTTACTTATTTTTTTTTATTTATATTAACAAAAAAATATAATAGTATACAATATGTGAGAATTATTACTAGAAGTTACTCTACACTGCAGAAGAATAAAAAAAAAATCATATTTAAGTACTTTATAGTTTATATAATTAAATATTATTGTAGAACAATTATATGTTACTGATAGTACACACTACATAACATCAAGTATGTTATTTTAATGAGGTGTAAAATCCATTTATGACAGTATAAGGTCATTTAAAAATATTGCGTTTCAAAATTCAAATTACTTGTACAAGTAAAAAAATAAATGTGTGAAAACAAGTGGTGAAGTGGTGAGTTCCGTTGGTTATAACACTAACACTTGTCGCTCAAATTTCAAGAGGGGCTAAGGCAGGGAGTACTCGCACTGGCATTAATGAGTTTGGAAAACCTTTATATACTTATCATTGTGACCTAGGCGTCACAAGGGAGAGCTAGAAAATGTTCAAAAAGCACCATATAGTTGTTTAAAAAATCGTTATTTTTAGAATCGATTTTCCAAAAAATCGATTTTTCGGGCAACGATTTTTTTCGAATCGATTTTTTTCATTCCGATTTAAATCGATTCTAAAATCGATTCACCGACCTGAATCGGCCATCACTAGCTATCGTTAGCCGGTCGGGTGGTAGTCGTCGAGGCCGTTAGTAAGTATTTCGTGCACTGTATATCGTGTAAAAATTCGGCCGGAACGGGCGATTCGCGTGTCACCTCCGGGAAATCCAAAAGCAGCGACGTCCACTTCGACGGTCGTGCGATGGCGCAAATGACGGCCGGTGCTGTGTCGGGAGCGAGCGCGGCTTGGACAGAAAATCTGTGTGATGTGTCGACGAGACGGCTGCATCGGATATCCACGAGTAATCCGTAGTAGTGCAGGAAATCGGCTCCGAGGATAGGTCGTCCCACGTCGGCCAGTTCGAAAGTCCACGTGAAGACGCGGTTTAAACCCAGATCGAGCTGTAGTTGTTTGGGTCCGTAGGTTTTGATTTGTGAGCCGTTTGCGGCGATTAAATTTAATGTCGAAAGTGAAAAATTATTCTTATTTTTAAATTTTGAAGGGGAACCGGGAAGGAGAGAGATTTCGGCACCGGAGTCGACTAGAAATCGACGTCCGGTGTGTTGATCGGCGACAAAAAGTCGTCGTGAATGTGGTCAGATAACACCGCCCCCTCAATTTTTATTCGTGGGGTCGTAGGTGCACGGAGTGCGGCACTTTCGCGCGTTGGAGCCGTAGAATGATAATAGCACCAACCTGTTGCGGCAGACGTTGCTGGCGCGGGCGTTACAAACTGTACTGTGCGCGCGAAAGGAGCGTGGTACGAGAGCGTGGGCTGTGAAGCTTGAGCCGACGTCATCTGTGAGAGCTGAGTGATCAAATTAGCGATCGTGGCCTCGAGCGATTGTACGCGCGTCTCGAGTGTTGTCTGGACGCGTGAGGGTGCTGAGGTGTTTAGAGCTGGTCCCATGTCGTGTTGCGGCGGGAAAACGGCGGCGCAACGTGCACGCAGTGTGGTCTGAACTTCTGCGACCTCTCGGGCCTCGCACGCTTTGAAAATTCGATCCTCTCGTTCTGCCAACGTGTCGAGTGGCCCGGAAAAACCCGCGATGACGGTGCGTACGGCCGTTATAAGTTTGGCCAACCAAAACTGCTGTAGTGTCGCATCCGACATACCTTCGGGATAAACGTCCCGCATGTCTCTGAGGAGTCGGGATGGCGTGCGATCTCCCATGCCTCCGGGATGCACGAGGGACTGAAAACGAGTGGCCTGCGGCGCTATATACGTGCTGATGAGTTGTTCTCGTACCAGACTGTACGACGCGTCGATGCCGAGCAAGTCGGAAACCGCGCGGATGCCTTCGTCGTCCAGCGATGCCAGCACGTGGTTGACGCGCGACATTTCGGATCTGACGCGGCTGGTGTGAAACACTGCGTCTGCGTGCGTGAACCACTGCCTGGGCGCGTGACGCCAAAAGCCCGGGAGACGGACAATAACAAAGACAAAAAAAATATAATTAATAAATAACATAAATTGTATTAAATCTAGTGCATCTAATTAAATTTTTAAATCAATCACCTAAAAATGTCCACAGATTAGGATGAACAGTTTGGAATTTTTCTTTAAGAGGACGTGATACCCAAAGTGAAACGTATAAAACGGCTAAGAGAATGCGCTGTTAGGTGTTTTCACGATCCGCAAGCGCGCGGCGTTTAAGTCACGCCTACTATTCGCAAATCGCAACCGGCCGACGGCGGCGACGAGTGCTCGTTCGGGAGCGCCGTTTATTTGTCTATGAACGTTCGTCCAGTACGATTCGTATCATTATAAAATGCATTATGCGCAAATGCCGCTGTAATATTTTCAATACCCTCGCGTACTTATGAACTACCGATTATAATCTAATATACTGCTTACCTAAATTTATGTCTCAATATATAGATCGTAGAAACTGTATCATAACATAACTTGATTTGTAGTTATTGAATTATTACTTATTTAAATATAATACTTTAGTAAAATCCAATAAATGGTAATAAAAATAAATACAGCGCAATTAAATTAATATTAATTTTCCGTGTTTTATCTTTTACGTTCAACTGTTAATGTTATTAAAATATTGTGTAATAAGTAATTACAAATATTTTTTTTAAATTAATAATATGTTGGTAGTAGGTATACCTATACCTAATGTAGTAATTTACTAATATAATAATTATAATATACTCGTAATGATAATAATAATACTCTAAAATCTTTATTTATCATTCTGTAATTTTTGGAGATCGGGTACATTCACTGCCTAAAAATAACTAATTTAAAATGTATAGTTGTATAGTATATTGTAACATAAAAGTACACAAATATAATATAGGTACTCTCGTATTTCGATTTATTTATTTTATTCTTGCAGTCAATCAATATTATATGAAACCAATACATTTAAGTCAAATAAAAACCATACAATTTGAAACTACAACAGAAATTTAATGATATAATTAAAAATATAATTACAATTTTACAATAAATATAATAAAATAATAACAAAAATGGTTTTCATCATTTACTATTTTTATTTTTTAATATTTCCACTTTTTCGGATTCCCTAATATCTGACACCATCAATCGATATTTATAAGCTTGATCTACAATTTCCGGAAGCAAACAGTCCAAATAAAATCTACAAAGAACAATGTAAAATGATGTAATATATATATAATTCAAAATTATAATAGGTATTCATATAGTTTAGTGTTTAAACATTTTATATTCTCACGTTTTTAATTTATCGACCATTCTCGTAATCCAAAAATCATTTTCATATTTTATTTTTTCTATTGAAATCCACTGAGGAGAATATATAATAAAATAACATGTTTCTCTTTTTGAAATGTGAAGTTGACCTTGCACTTGATAAAAATAATTATGATTATTTTTTAATTTTAATTGACCGTTCTCGATTTTACAGTAAGGTAACTAAACAAAATTATAATTACATTTATAGTTATATTTAAAAATTGTGAATGATATATGATATTAGTATATATATATATTATATAGTATCAGGCATACTTTGCCACTTTCGACAGCCTCGATTGCATTTTGGCTGTCTTTCGCTGAGTATGGGGCCTTAATTTCTACAATTGTTTTTTCGTCAATAATTCCATCTACATTATTCAATCATACATTACAGTATTATACATTTATACATATGTTATTAGTAAGCGTATAAAATATAAATAATTTTTATGAATAATTATTACAAACCGGGACTTGCAGCTAGGAATGCAAATTCTTCGTCTATAAATAAACCACTAGGTTTAATCTGAATTCCTGCATACATTTCTTCAAACTTCATTTTAGCAACCCCTTCCATATCTCTACCATTTTGAATTGCCCTAAATTGTATTTTTATTTAAAAACGCTTAACAATTATAATTAATTGGTATTTAGTTATGTTCTTACTTAGAGGTGAATCTAGAGTATAAAATTGAATACACTGTACTTTTACAACTAGTATTTGCACGCATCTTACAAATACGACCGAAATTACTAGCTGTAAGTCTGCAAAGCCTTTCACGTTTCCAAGTATCATTAAAAGCTTGATCTCTAGTAACTCGTTCAATTTCATAACGATCGACTTCGCCTAGTTTTCTAAAAAATACAATGTGAATTTCATGTCAAATTATAGGTGTATAATAATGTGTAAATCTAAATTGTATTTGATAATATTACTTGACAAATTGATTCATTTCATTCACAAATCCTATACATTTAATGTCTTTAAGAATGTCTAATTTGTCTGCGTTGCCATAATTCTCATCAGCTTTCTTACTAAAATTTAATCGTTTAGGTTTTAGGTTTGACTTTTTATTTGACAATATTTTTCTTCTGTTTTGACATTTATACCTTTTTTCCAATATTCTTTTTAAAAATTTTTTCCCCACAACTCCTAAAATCATTAAATTTTTATGGTTATAAACATTTACTTGTATCATTAAATTAAAAGAAAAATAATACCTGGGCTCATTTGCGTTGTATTTTTTTTTACTGTTCTCAAATATTGTGATGAATTAAAACTGACAACAGCAGCATAAACACGTGTACTATATGAACTTTTT